CAATTTGCATTCAATTGACTCCTATCAATCTTCAAAGTATCTTTTGTGGTCCAAATCAACCATTAAATATTTACACTTTGGTCCCCATACTTTGGATTTGCTTCATTTAGCTATTTTCCATTCTTTTTTCTAGTTCTTCTTTGAAGCATGAACTTTTCCTAATAAAAGCAATAAATAACAAATCAAGTTCTAATCCGTTCAAAGAATAAAAAAATATCATCATTTAAGATCTCAAATAAGTGTAAAAACTACACTTATCAAACTCTCAAACTTGAATCTTTATTTGTCCTTAAACAAAAATATAACCTAAATAATAACAAACATACAAGCATGCAAAAATATTTGGTTAGACAATCTAACTTTTTACCCCAAAATTCAAGATCACCGTATTAAATCTATAAACTGTTTCAAAGTTGCAATACCAAACCAATATCCACTCTTCCAATGAAAAATTGACGTGTGTGTGTGTGAAAAATTAAGTAGACATTAATGATTTCACAAGTTGTTTCAATTCTCGACCCTCTATGGTCAAATATATCCTTTCAACTCTCCTAAGATTCACACACCCTTAAATTTATTCTTTTTCACTATTTTTCCAGCGTGTGATCTAAGGTTGAATTTTTCATTACTATCCTTACCCTCTCTTGTTCAGGTGGACATCACTGGTTGCAAGTCAATACATCAATGAACAAGGATTCTCAATTAATTTAATTACTTCAACCGCCAAGACTCAATTAGGCTAATTATTTTTAATCGAAAGTTAAATTTTCTCGAATAAGTGTTAAGACTTAACAAGGTATTTAGTGTTTCTACTTTTTTCCATGCACTTGCTTTTTCTGATTTTTAAGAGTTTTTTTTTAAGTGCAACTTCATCTCTGATTACTTTCTAAATGATCTCTGTAACGAGCTTTAGGCCGATGACTCCCAAGTCAGATGACTTTAGGGCATCAGATTTTAAGATACCTTTACAGGCTTAATTACTCGAGTTATAAAGTCTTTATAGAGAAGTTTTAAATTTCAAAATATATGCCTTGATTAGTGCAATGCCCCTTATCACACACTTATTCAATCAAATCGACCTCCAACTCAAAACTTTCACCCAATTTTATCCTGTTAGTCTAAGACAATCTACACATAAGTTTTCATGTATGGAATCCCTGTTCGCATCCGTATCTTTTTGCAACAGCAAAATCATCCCCAAACTGTGTTAAATTTGGTCTGAGGATAAATAATTTGTACGGTATGGGTAAAGCGTCTATTTCCGATTAAATCAACCTTTCAAGCATATGAATCAACTCATTTCATCACAATGTTAAATTCAATTCTAGTGCATGTATAATATCAAGTCTTGCAACATTGGACTTCAATTAGTTTAGCATGCATCTTATCCACATTTCATAAATCAATACCAAACATTAAATTTAATCATTATAGTCAGCCAAATTGTCTAACTCATACAAGCACACAAACAAACAAAAATAAATAAATAGATAATTTTTTTTAACGCACAAAAATAGAAATTTTAACAATTTTTTTTTTTAAAGAAACACACAAAAACATACAAAAATCAAGAACTCAAAAAGTTTTTCCCACCCCCAAACTTAAACTTGACATTGTCCTCAATGTTTTAAAATATAATTGAGAATGTAAGGGAACGGGGAATGAAAGGAAGAAGGTACTCCCCGAATTTTCCTGTTGAACGTAGAACGCACTTTGGGCGGCTGTTAGACATTCTCCTTCATCATGTTTTCCCCTTGGTCTATGTTGGTTTGAGTGTTTTGCAACATCATGTTCCTGCATATGGCAGTTAAATAAAAAAATTAGATATCAAATAAGCTAGAACATGTGTTACTTATCCCAAACATCTAATAAACCACTAAATCTCAAAGACCTAAGAGAAAATGTGGTATGGATGATGAGTCCCTAAAATAAAAATTAATCTAAATTATCTTAAGCTATTCTAATTATAGTAAAATAAAATAAAATGGAAAGAACTATTGGGTTGCCTCCCAATAAGCACTTAATTTATAGTCTTTAGCTAGACTTTGTTGCTTTTAGGCTCTTCATGATGGCTTGAAAAGAGAATTTTCAGCCCTGCATTTTAAGCACTGGTTGCACTTCTTTCTTTCATTTTTCATCCGCCACATGATCAAGTTTCCATTGTTATCCCTACCAACAATTCCACCTACATCTGGCCGGCCTTTGTAACTCTCCCAGTGATCAACTCGTTGGCAATCCTCAAAATATGATGGTTGCTTGATTAGATTCTCCATGGTGAAGCTTTGTGGCTTATCTTCCACCCTTAGGACTATCTCGTTTGTATCAAAATCAAGTAATGCCCGACTTGTTGACAAGAATGGCCTTCCTAGTATTATTGTAATTGGAGCTGCCTCTTCTATGTCTAGAATGATAAAGTCAGCTAGAAAAATAAATTCTCCCGTCTTAATGAGCATGTCCTCGACAATTCCATAGGGATGTTTCAATGTTCGGTCCGCCAGCTGAAGGATGATAGAAGACGCCTTGGGATCTCCCAATCCCAATTTTCTGTAAAGAGGCAAATGAATTAAGTTAATACTTGCTCCTGAATTAATTAAACAATTAATACCTTGTAAGTTTCCTATGGAGCAAGGTAGAGTGAAACCCCCTGGATCTTTAAGTTTGGGAGGGATCTTGTGCTGGATGATCACGTTGCACTCTTCAGATAGTATTATTATTTCATGCTCGGGCATCTTTCTCTTTTTAGTCAGCATCTCCTTCAAAAACTCAGAATAGTTTGGGATTTGAAGGATAGAGTCAATGAATGGGATGTTGACATGCAACCTTTTGAGGATTTCCAGGAATTTCATAGCTTACTTCTCTAATTTAGTCTTCTGTAACGTTTGAGGAAAAGGGACCAGAGGTGTTAGTGAAGTGCCAAGAATATTTGTTTTAAGCTGTGGACTATCTGAAACTGACTGTTGGTCCTCTTCTATTGCTTCTTCAGATTGCTCCATCGGTTCCTTATCCTTAGTAGGAATTTGAGTTCTCTCTGTCTCCTTCCTCTTTACAGTGATTTGTGGCAATTGAACACCACTCTTAGTAGTGATGGCCTGAACCTGCTCTGCTGTTGGCTGGCGTTGAAGTTTTTGAGGAAATGGAATGGGTGGCACATAAGTTTTGACAGGGGTGGTAGATGGGAGCTCAATAGTTGCATAATTTACCGCCTCAGTTGCTAATACCTGCTCCCGTGATTCTTCTTTGTGTCATTTGGCAAGGTACCCTGTGGTCTGTTGGCTAATGCAGCTACTATCTGTCCCACCTGATTTTCTAGGTTATGTATGGAAGCCTGTTGATTCTGCATTACTGTTTCAGTCTTGGTGATGTACGTGACCAGTAGATCTTCTAAGGATTGCCTCTTACCTTGCTGTTGCTGAATTACTGGTGGATTGGCCTTTATCTGATTTACTTGATTTGGATTATCCACCCACGAATAGTTGGGATGCTTGTTCAAACCTAGATGGTAGTTGTATAGGTAAGATCCATTTTGCCTCTGATAGTTCTGCGCATAATTGACCTCTGCTGATTGACCCATGTGAGTAGAAGTCAAAGGGTAGCTTGAAGTGATGTGATCTGCCCCACAACCTGCGCATACCGAAGCTGGATGTTGTACCATGTGCACAGATTGAGTTAAAGTATCAACCTTCTTTGTTATTGCTTCCATCTGCGCTGCCAATGCTGTCACTGCGTCCACACTATGCAATCCAGCTGCTTTTCTCGGAGCTTCCCTATCTGTTAGCCAGTTGGCCTGATTCTCAGCAATCCTCTCAAATAAATTATGTGCATCATCCACCTCGATAGTCAAAATTGATCCACCCGCAGAAGCATCAACTATATTACGAAATTCAGTGCGCAGTCCATTATAGAATAGATATATTTGTGACAGTTTAGGAACATCAAGATTTGGACATTTCCTAAACGCACTTTTGAACCTCTCCCATGCTTCCGGATATGTCTCACGATCCTTCTATCTGAAAAGATATACTTCGTTTCCGATTTGGTGGACTTGAGATGGTGGGAAGAATTTCATAGTAAATTTTTGTACCATGTCATTCCACGATACGATGCTCCTAGAGGGTTGTGACATCATCCATATTTTCGCACCCTCCTTCAAAGTGTGAGGAAATAAACGCATTCGAAATGCATCTTGTGACATCCCCTCATGGCTAATGACATCACAAAGCATGGTAAAAGCTTGAATATGTTCGTGTGGATTTTTCGTAGCTTTCCCACTGAACCT